AAGTATTACTATTTATAACTAGGTACAATCTTTAATCAATTATCGTTATTGTTAAAGCCTATAAAAAGTCCACTGTTGAACATAGGCTCCGCCATAGATTGCCTCATAGGGGAGTTATCACTCTTGGCAGGCGGGTTGGCAAACACAATTTTTGTATTTATTTGAATGTTATTAAGAAGACGCTGCTGCCCATCTCCTGGTTAGTTGCCTCTTACGACACGCAAGGGACGATATGGGGTAGTGGATATTCTTACATCGCCGCTACACGGTTTTTAAAACAATTCATGTTAATTAATAACATTCATTACAATATTTATTAAATCAATTTTAATCAAAAGTAATCTAAAATAAAAACCGAACAGAATATGTGACATTAGATATCGAGAAAACTTTATTGACGTGGTTGAAATTTGGGTATTCGTATTTTACGATTTTCGATGCGATTCAGTGTTTATAACCTTAAATAATTGTAATTTCTGACAATATACAATAAGTCAAAGACAAATATTTTTGTTCGAAATTAGCTTTTACAAATCACTTTTTGAAAATCAAAAGCTACCCCATCACTTTAACTTTAACAAGGCTGTACTGCGAGGAGACCTTGTGAGAAGTGGCAAAGAACTCACTAGCATACTGTTTTTCTTCCAAGAGTTATCATTTACCCTTATAAAATATATACATAAGTTTGCTACGTGGTAGAGCCATGCTGCAGCTATATTATGGTTGTAGCACGAATGGGTCGGCTCGACCGGGGAAGGACCACGCTCTCACAGAATACCAGCGTAAAATAGCAGCTTAACGCTGCTGTGTTTCGTATGGTGAGTGTAGAGTACCGGAGACCCTTTTACTGGATACGAGGCATACCATCTTAATCCTCACGGGTGACAACGCATCTGCATTTTGATTCTTAATCGAAGATAGATGTGGATGTCTATGGGCCACAGCAACCACTTACCATCAGGTGGACTGTGTGCTCGTTTGTCTCCCTTATCTTATAAAAAAAAAGTAAAAAAAGTTATAAGGTAGCTCATCAAATCTCCGCATTCTTATCTTTTAAATAGTCATCTGATTTATATTATACTTTTTTCATAAAAATGCTTTTACATGCTCTTTGAATTTAAGAAAGGTAAATCAGTATTACAGGGATTCTTGTGTATAAGAATAGTTGTGCATCTACCCAAAAGCGAGCCGCTAGTTTTATGGAATCTGTACTTTGGAACAACAAGTTTAGATTTATGGCACATGTTAATATTATGGACATCTCTCATTTTGTTAAAGATATTAAAATAGTTTCTTACATAAATAATATTGTCCAAAATGTATCGTGATGCAACAGTTAAGATGTTTGTTAATTTTTAAAAGTCTCTGAGTGAGTCCCTTTGTTTAATATAGTTAATAGCACGTAAAGTTCTTTTCTGTAAGAAATAATATAAAGTCAATATAATATTTTTAAAATACTCATACACATTATACATACTTTAAAACTAAAAATTTAGTACAAACGATTTCAATATAAATTACTCAAAAACTATTGGTCAGATCTTCTCTTCTTGATCAAATTTATATGGGACCAAATGAGAAGCACCAGCTTTCAAATAAAAAAGAATCATCGAAATCGGTTCACCCAGTAAAAAGTTATGAGGTAACACATAAAAAAACATACAGTCGAATTGAGTACCTCCCCCTTATTGAAGCCGGTAGTAAATTATTACAGAAAAGTGTAATTTTAAAATAAAAATAACCTGAGATTTGTTCTAAATACGAGTTACCCACAAATTGTCGTATTTTCATTATTATAAATAAGTGAAAAATGAATGACTATAGAAAGTATCACAGGAACAGAAACAAAACTCCGATATTATTAAATATCTTTTCCAGCTGATGGTCTTCGCTTTAACAAAGTAATGAATAAATTAAATTAGCAATAAACACCATATTGACCATTATAGACTAGAAATATGTAACTCACCTGCGTTCAGCATCAAGTTTTACTTTCACTTTGATTGTAACATGATGCCAAAAGTTCATGAGTCATTATAATAGTACCTATTCTTAGTATTAATAATTATAGTGATTAGAAGATAGTATAGTAAGTAACCCGGGTTCGATCCCTCCAATGTAATTGTTAATTGCTATTTTAAGTGCTAATTTACCACGTGCTCGGCGACGAAGGTAACCTCATCATGAGGAAATCTGCATGTCTAAAAAAAATTCGAAGACATATAAAGTCCGCCAATTGGGGCAGCGCGGCGGACATTTCCCGTGTATAGGCTGTAACTTTAGTTTACTGTCTGCAGCAGGAATAAGTCGACTGGACAAGAGAAGGGCATCGCTCTCACAGAATATTAGCGTGAAATAGCAGCATAATGCTGCTGTGTTTCGTATGGTGAGTGTAGAGAACCGGAGACTCTTTTCTGCTGGTATCGAGGCATTTTATCTTAATCCTAAGGCAATGACAATGCATTTGTATTTTGATTCATAAGCGATAAAAGATGTGTCTATGGGCCACTGTATCCACTTACCCTGAATGTGTTGTGTGTGTGTGTGTGTGATCATTTTTCACTCTAACTCCTATAAAAAAAAAATAATTTCGGTCCGCTAGTCAGTTTTAAAAGGATTCGGACTTTCTATTGAATACTTTGTAAACTCCATCGACCATTGTCTACTTGCAGCCGGCGTATTAATAAGGTTCGAAATTAGTTATCGATGCAAGTGTCGTGTACATAAGCGAGCTGCCGATTTCATTTATTTATTTTGTTTAATAGAAGTCAATCGCATCCACTTCCTTTAGAACATACGTTCTAGAATGTGAACTTATTAAATCATTTATTTAAGAGTCGTGATAGCAAAGGGCTAATCTCTTCTTAAATTTCAAGGAACCCGAGTCCGATCCCCTCTAGAAACATTGAAAATGATAATAGAAATTTTAAGGCAACTCTGCAGTACTAAAAACTATTTCGAAGCTCGTTGAATCTCCTGGAATGTAACTATTACACAAAATCAAAATCATTTTATAAAAATACAAGGGTTGTGTGAAGAAAAAAACGTGAACCATAACGTTAACCAATTCGGTTCGATAAAAACAATCATAAAGGTGGCTCTAAAACGCCATTTAAACGTGTATGTTGCATAGTTTTCATAATGAACCGTACTTATATTAAATGAAAAGGCTTACCATTTTTTTATGCACGTTAGTAGTTTTCTACCCATTTCGAAAACGAGACGGTACTCAATATGACTGTATATTTTTTGCTTCTTGTTTTTTTTTAAATTTCAAGGCTGGTGCTTCGCATGTGGTCCTATATAAATTTGATCAAGCTCTGACTAAAATTGATATCTATAAAATGTTATACCCTAGGTACACCAAATTCACTTCAGACTTATTAGTAGGAAATCTCAAATTTATTTATGACTCGACTACAGTGCCACGTAATTGGTTCAGATTTAGTCATTTTCTTTTTTAGCACTAAGCTAACATATTACGAATATGAATCATTTTGGTCCGTAGATATAGAAATTGATAATAATTTGACTACTATCGGATCCTACCGTGATAGCTATTACCGTTACCGTTACGGCCTATCAAAGTCCACTGCTGGACATAGGCCTCCCCCATAGATTGCCTCATACGGGGGATATTTGATATAGTTGCCACGCCTGCCAGCCGGGTAGGCAACTGCAGTTTTTAATTTTTTAGTTATAATTAGAAAGATGCTGTTACCCACCTCCTAATTTATTTCCCTCTGTCGCCTCTTACGACATCCATAGTACGATATGGGCTAGTGGATATTCGTACAACGCCACTATAAGGTTATTATTTTATGTTGCTAGCTATTGTGTGAATATATGTATATATTTGAATGACTTTTTGACTGATTTAACTGATTATTCGATTACTGGATAATCAGTCAAAACTCAAAAGTGGAGATGTTCTTTAGCATACCGAAATCTATACATCTATACATCTATACAAATAAATAAAATTGAAGTGTCTGTTTGTAATGTCAAAATTACAGTTTTTTACTAAATGCATATGAAAGTAAATACGATACCTATAACTAAAATACAATTTTTAATTTTTTTGTCTGTCTGTCTGTCTGTCTGTTTGTTCCGGGTAATCTTCGAAACGGCTGGACCGATTTTGACGGGACTTTCACTGGCAGATAGCTGATTTCATAAGGAGTAACATAGGCTACTTTTATTTTAGAAAAAGAATCAGGGTTCCGCGCAGAAACATAAAAACCCTAACACGCGAACGAAGTCGCGGGGAACAGCTAGTATTAAATAAAAATATTACTACACAAACTGATAAAAGGTCCAATCTAGTTATAAAGACTGAAAGTATATTTATAAGGAACTGCTTTGTTTTATTCCTTAGGAGAGGCCTATGTTCAGCGGTAGAAATCTGATAGGCTATAACGATGATGATGATTTAAACTAAAAATATATAAGAAAAGACGTTTGAACTCGAATGAGAATTGAATTTCGTTTTGTACCGGTTTTATTTAAATTTCCTTTTTATAACATACTTGTGCTCAATAAATATTATCATACCCAATTATCATTTGTTTGATTTATTGTGGTTTACTATGATACAAATACGATAAAACTAAAATCTAAGAGTAATAGATTTCTGCGGCGAAAATAGTATGGTGTTTTTTTTTTATAGTTAATCCGGAGCTCAATTTACACTACGTAAAAAATACACTCGCTGAAAATAAAAATAAATGTGCGTGTAACTGTGTACACACGAACGAAGTGAAACTTCTTTACGTATATCATTCTTCTTTTATTTTACATTTTACATGAGAAGGTTAAGTAATAGTATACTCATGCAGTCCCATCTGTGAAACTTTACAAAAAACGTGGCGTTTTTGTTTTTTAATACCGTACTACATTTTTCCACTACGTCGGTAAAGTTTCACTTCATAAACTTGTACAGTACGGTGTTATGACTTAGACTTTACCACCTAATTTATAAATTACTTATTAATTTTCAGGGTGATTACATATGGATCGAGCCGGTGTCGGGTCGGGAGTTCGACGTGGCGATCGGCGCGCGGGTGCTCGCAGCCGAGGGGCGACGCATCCGCGTACGAGACGACGACGGCCAGGAGCAATGGCTGCCGCCGGAGCGCCGCATCAAGGCCATGCACGCCACCTCCGTGCATGGAGTCGAGGACATGATCTCGCTCGGTGACCTACACGAGGCCGGGATCCTAAGAAATCTTCTCATACGATATAATGAAAATCTTATTTACGTGAGTTCCTCTTATTTTTTTTTTAACTTCTCGCAATGAAAATCAATGATGTCATCAACGATGAAACAAAAACCAACGATGAATGGTATCACCCCGTTTTCTAAAATCGATGTTTCATCAGATCTCGACGTAATGACGTCCTAGGAAGCTATTCTAACTATTCCTACGGGAATGTCGCTATATATGTGTGTTTGTGTTTGTGTGTGTGTGTGTGTGTGTGTGTGTGTGTTTTTTTTTTTAGAACTTTTAAACAGATGTAATAATTTTAAAATCTAATCAACTTTTAAATTTGGAAAACAACTTCGTATGCTGCGAACCGCTTCAAAATCGGTTAATGCGTTGAAGAGAAATCGATGTGAAAAATTTCGAAAGAAGTGTTTTTTTCTCATAACTCTTGAATTTATAGTCTAATCGTTTTTTTATAATAGATATATTGTTCATAAAATACCTCGTCGATTGCCACCAATTACATCAAAATCAGTTGATCCGTTCGAAAGTTATCATTGTCAATATATTATTTTTTTAAAAAAATATTTTTTATTAACCTGGAAATTTCTGCTCATATCGTTTTTGATGTAATGAGTTAACTATTAGTTCGTAAAAATATTTATCGAGCGTTTTGAAATCGAACATAGCGGGAAGTTCCAGGGATGGCCTGCACGATCAACCGTATTTTTATTAATATGAATGTAAAGTTCTAGAGACGATGCGTTATTTTAGCTTTATTTTTATGCAACTTAAATCACCTCTACAATTTTATTTACTATACACTTAAGTCCGCCCTTGATAGCGGACATAATATTTATAATCCTATACGCAACTCTGTGCATAATAGCATTTATGGTATGAAAATGTTATTTTTTTGAAAACTACAATAAAAAAATCCTAATAATCAATCACCATAGGTTGGTCTATCAACCATTGCTTCTATCTAATCTAGCATCTACGAGATGGTATTGGATGGTGATACCGTCGTCTATTAGAAACCACAAGATTTTCTAGTCATTTCCCATTGCTGACTCACGAGAAGAAAATGAGTGATGATAGCGTTTCCATTTCTGCTTAAATTTGTCAGTGAAAAATTTTGTTCTCAAATTGACAATAAAATAATTAAAGTGATACTTGCTGTCTACTTTCATAATAAATTTTTCAAGTTATTTATTGTTGATTTTCGTTAAGTAAAACTTGAAAACCACGTAGTGGCGATGTAAGATTATCCACTACCCAATATTATATAAGAGGCGACAGAAACTGAAACAAAAGATGGGCAGCAGCATCTTTCTGATATCAGCTAATTAAAAATAAAAAACTGCGGTTGCCAACCCGTGGTAAGGCATTCTATGGGCGAGGCATATGTTCAGCAGTGGACTTTCTTTATTTTTTAAATTATATTGATAGCGTAGTTCCGTTCCTCGCATACACTTTTAAAAAGAAGTTCAATTATTGAGGAAAAAAAATGTGATAACTGATTTAATTTTTATATTGCAGACATATACGGGTTCTATATTGGTGGCAGTGAATCCTTACCAAATACTACCAATATACACAGCAGACCAAATAAAACTATACAAAGAGAGGAAAATAGGTGAGCTGCCCCCGCACATCTTCGCTATCGGTGACAATGCATATGCACACATGCGCCGCTACAGCCAGGACCAGTGCATCGTTATCAGTGGAGAATCTGGCGCTGGGAAGACTGAATCCACAAAGCTTATTTTACAATACTTAGCCGCTATTAGTGGCAAGCATTCTTGGATAGAACAACAGGTTGGTTTCCATTACATAATTTTTATTGCATGATGTTTCTTGTAAACTAATTTACTTATTTAACTTCTTTCTTGATAACTTACCTATTTTAAAGTCAATGCTAAGACTAAAATAACTTATTTTTCTAGTTTTAATTATAGCTCATATGATAGCGAGTAGCCATCATACTTAAATAATTAGCCTATGCGATAAGGAAACTCGTAGATAGTTCAGTTTGCGACATTAATATTATTTACATAATATTTGGGGATTAAAGTATGAAAATACCGCTTTGTATTGAAAAATTCATAAATCTTTTATTTGGAAAAAATATTGTTATACATTTCTGTTATTGTTTCAAAAAGGACCTCTATACTGTTACACCTACTACACATTGCTTTATTAGGCCAAGTTCACTAATGATTTGAATATATATTCGTCTTAATGAAAAACAAGTAAAACCTGATCAAAAAGAAAATTAACATGGAAATCGAGGCGGCCGAAGTATCTACATTCAACCAGTGAAGTAGCTATGTTACTAACCCAAATATGAGATTGGGGCCCTATTTAAACTATACTAAGCACTTTAAAGGTGCAAAAGCGCCCACTGAAAGACATAAATTAAAGCTACTTACTACCAAGTATTATGTGTAACGCAGGTTTGTTTGTTTGTTACGTTTTTACGAAAGCTAATGAATGGATTTGGATGAATTCGTGCACACCGATAGAGCTTGACCTAAGCCTAAGACATAGGATACCTTTATCCCGATAAAATGATCCCGTGGGATAATTTTAGACGCTAGTAAAAAATAAAGGGCCCTTTGAGCTTATGGGCCCCCGAGCACTGCCCTGCCTAGTCCTACGGTAGCTACGCCACTGCATTCAACATTAAATATATCTATCATAGATTTTTCGTTACTTGTATAATATAATATTGTCATGAGTGATGAATTACGATAGTAAAATGTCACGTAATACCCATTTGTTTGTGTACGTCAGCGGATTACAATTGTATTTCAGCATATTGCATGTTGTACAAAATTTTATTTTGTAATTACTGTTTTTTTTTTAAGATTATTGCTTGTCGTGCCTAATATGTGATTGAAATTTTACAGATTCTAGAAGCAAATCCAATTTTGGAAGCATTTGGAAATGCAAAAACGGTCAGAAACGACAATTCATCAAGGTTTGGAAAGTATATTGATATACATTTTAACAGTAGTGGAGTTATTGAAGGTGCTAAAATTGAACAATATTTATTAGAAAAATCTAGAATTGTATCCCAAAGTATGGAAGAAAGGAATTATCACGTATTCTACTGTTTGTTGGCTGGACTTTCCAAAGAAGAAAAGAGGAGACTGGATTTAGGAGAACCGACAGAATATAGATATTTATCTGGTGTAAGTACTTTAGGAAACGTAAAGTAACTTTATTAAATAACAATAGAATAGCATAATATATTAATTTACATTTAACATAGATAAAGGCATTTTTACATAGTTTGGTTGAATACTTTTTTCAGGGTGGCTGTTTCACTTGCGAAGGAAGGGATGATGCTGCCGAATTTGCTGACATTCGATCAGCTATGAAAGTTTTATTATTTACCGAACCAGAAATTTGGGAAATTTTAAAATTATTAGCAGCAGTTTTACATTGTGGTAACATTAAATATGAGGCGACAATTGTAGATAATTTAGATGCAACAGAAATTATAGAACAGGCTAACGTACGTAGAGTTGCAAACTTGTTGGGAGTGCCTACACAATCTCTCATAGATGCACTAACGAGGAAAACACTTTTTGCACACGGCGAAACTGTTGTATCAACTCTAAGCAGAGATCAATCAGTAGATATTAGAGACGCTTTCGTCAAAGGCATATACGGACGGCTTTTTGTCACGATAGTAAAGAAAATAAACGCCGCAATTTACAAACCAAAATCTACGATGCGAACAGCGATTGGTGTTTTGGATATCTTTGGATTTGAAAACTTCGATCACAACAGCTTTGAACAATTTTGTATCAACTTTGCTAATGAAAACCTGCAACAATTTTTCGTCAGACATATTTTTAAATTGGAACAAGAAGAGTATAATCATGAAGGAATCAATTGGCAGCACATAGAGTTTGTCGATAATCAAGACGCTCTAGACCTGATTGCATTAAAACAGTTGAACATCATGGCTTTGATCGATGAGGAATCTAAGTTCCCTAAGGGTACTGATCAAACTATGTTGGCAAAACTACATAAGACGCACGGTCTTCATAGAAATTATCTTAAACCTAAGTCAGATATAAATACTAGTTTTGGATTAAATCATTTCGCTGGAATAGTATTTTACGATACTCGCGGCTTTCTTGAGAAAAATCGTGATACATTTAGCGCTGATCTGCTCCAGTTGATTCACATATCAACAAATAAATTCTTACAGCACATTTTTCAAGAAGACATTATAATGGGTTCGGAAACACGTAAAAGAGCTCCAACGCTATCGACCCAGTTTAAAAAGTCATTAGACTTGTTAATGAGAACTTTAGGTACTTGTCAACCGTTCTTCATTCGATGCATTAAGCCGAACGAATTTAAGAAACCAATGATGTTTGACCGTGGCCTTTGCTGTAGGCAGCTTCGATACTCTGGAATGATGGAAACCATCAGAATCAGGAGAGCAGGTTATCCGATCAGACATAGCTTTAAGGAATTCGTAGAGCGGTACAGATTTTTAATTTCTGGAGTTCCTCCAGCTCACAAGACTGATTGTCGTGCGGCGACTGCAAAAATTTGTGCCACTGTTCTTGGTAAATCTGATTACCAACTAGGCCATACCAAAGTATTTTTGAAGGATGCACATGACTTGTTCTTAGAACAGGAAAGAGATAGAGTACTAACTAGGAAAATATTAATACTACAGAGGTCGATTCGTGGCTGGGTGTACCGCAGACGGTTCTTAAAGATGCGAGCGGCAGCCGTATTAATTCAACGTCATTGGCGAGGGAAGTTGCAGAGAATCCGGTACAATAAGATGAAAGTCGGATATGCCAGGCTCCAGGCGTTGATCCGTGCGAGAGTTTTAGCGCATCGTTTCAGACATTTGCGGGGTCATATTGTTGCGTTACAAGTAAGTGTAGATCAAATTTAATACATTTTTAACATTTGTTCTTAAAGCAGGATATTTAATATTCTTACTAAATATCCAAAATCATTTAGTTGAATGTGTCCGGATCGAAGACGATGAGCTATGATAACCTATGACCCTACTCAAACCAGCATTATGAAACCAGTGACATCTCGAAAGACAAAACTTGACTTAGACTTGGAGTGAGTCTGATAAAATTTGTCAGAATTTATACTCGAAACTAGACAGCCCCTGCAATGGCAATAACTTCCGCGTGTGTAATCGATGTATTCGTTAATGTCTGCTTGTTAATATGGTTATTGTTCCGCACCTCAAAAAACCTACTCTAACACCCTCCTTATCCTGCAACTTGTTCAATCAGGATACATTTTGTAGGTTTACTTGTAACTGACACCGCAGCTAATCCAAGTCATCAGATACAAAATTACGCTTAGACTCCTACTTTAGTATAATCTTTTAATAATATTATATAATCTTTTCAATTTTCACAAGGTTGGGAGCGTCTTTTAAATACCTTAAAGCGTTTGTAATAGAAATTTTCTATAAACTAAATCCAATCCACTTCAACGTCCAAATAATGATCTCGTGTATTCCTAATTGGTTATCTAATAGTGATGTACATCTTAGCCAAAACTTACTCTGTAAATATTGTCTAAGGCAAAAACAATTCAAATTTTTGAATATATTGGCTTTATAAGACATCCAACTTAATTGCTTATAACATATAAATAAGTTAGATGTTGAAAAAAATTCTACTAGTGAAATTCTTATGCTATTGAAATTATTAAGTTAGAGGTCAAGGCAATAAGTCCAGTGACGCAGCAAAAACTTAATTTGTATTTAATATCCTATCGTATTCTTATTTTGAACAATTCCAGGCAGCAGCTCGTGGCTATTTAGTCCGTCGCTCGTACGGCCACAAGATGTGGGCAATAGTTAAGATCCAAAGTCACGTGAGACGTCTGATCGCCATGCGACGATACAAACGTTTAAAACAAGAGACCATCGCACACAATGAAGCTTTACGTCTCAGAAAGCAGGAGGAGCAGAGATTACAGCACCAGGGCAACACACGTGCTAAGGAGATCGCCGAGCAGAACTACAGGGTAAGTGAAATTTATAATGACATATTTAATTTAAAAGTTTTAAGTTAAATTATATATCATTTACATATATTTTAAGTGAAGCCCAAAATTAATGGTTACTAAAACGTTTTTATTATGAGAAAGTTATAATGTCACCTGCCTTATGTTTCCTAGCAGATATTTTTTTTTTATATTATTGGGTGAGTAAGTGTTTGCTGTGGCCCATAGACATCTACATTTATCCTCGTTTGCGAATCAAAATGCAGATGCGTTGACACCCGTGAGGACTAAGATGGAATGCCTCTTTTCCACTAAAAAGGGTCTCTATTTCTAATATCGCGTAAATAGAACCGCGTAATATATTTCGAATTCGTATACAAACATATAGACGTAATCAATTGTGCGCGACATAATAAAGCCAGAAATGTACGTACATGTACTAAAACATTCAACCCGTGCTCTGTACGAGTATAACGCTTGCAATACAATAATATCGGAAATACGTTTTATACTTTCGTTATAGAACCGTCAGGTAAGCGCTCGCTGTAAATTTCACAGTACGCGAGCAACCCGGGTTCTATCCCCGCCGACACCAATGAAATTAGTTCATTGCAATTTGAAGTGCCGATTTACCACGTGCTCGACGGTGAAGTAAAAGATCTTGAGGAAATCTGCATGTAAGAAAAAAAATTTCGAAGACATGTGAAGTTCGCCAACACGCATTGGGGCAGCGCAGCGGACATTTCCTTGCCCTAAAACCCTCTCAGAAATGAGAGGAGGCATGTGCTCGGAGACGTATATAGGATGTAACTTTAACTTTAACCCCGTTTACTTTGATAAAGTTACTACGTTAAGTGTAAAGCGCGATAAGATTACAAATGCAGTCTTTTGGGAAACAAATGACATTTGTAAATTTATGATATTTTAATTTTAGAGAAATTCGACCTTTCCTATAACTTGTAGAACATAGCCTAACATAGCGTCATAGATAATTGCCGAACACGATAAAATAAATGTTAAAATTATAATAAAAAAGCCTATCGGAATAGTTATTGAAAACATAATAACAATTACGTTAAAAGATGTTTCATATAATATGTATTATAATAACATTTTAAGTATTGTTATTTATTGACGACTATACGATACAACATGACGTAGCTTCTTTATTTAGCATGTTATGTGTGAATAACCACTTAGTTTTGGTGTTCACAAATTATAAAACGGTTAAAATTTAGAATTGTTCAGGAGGGGCCACCACTCCTATCAAAAGGTATTACACCGTTCTTGAGAAAGAAAGAAATCCCATTGACCTAACCTGAACATAATAACTCTTATCGTCTCCAGCAGGAGCGAGGGAAGAGGGAGCGGGGAGTGGGGTTGTCTCCTATTATTCTATGTTATCCAGCTTTCACAGTAATATTGCATACGTTTTTCCATATTTTACACAATTTAGGTTATAATAGTTTTTTTTTTCTCTAAAACGGTGCACCTTTTAATGCGAGTGGTATTATTATAATCGGGGACCAAATAACTACCATATAAAACACATTACTCACCAAATTCCAGTCAAACGAATTTAAATCCAACCCGATAAAACAATTTAAAATTTGTGAAGTAATTAAACAAGTCAAGGCATAGTCGACACATATTCTAGGCGGTAGGAGTTCGTCTGGATAGATGCCACCCTCTTAATATTTCTGCCGCTAAGCAACAGTACAATACACGGCTGTATTCTAGCTTGATGGGTATTCAGAACCAATATAGAAAGTAGTTGGTTAACCAATAGTTACAGACTGTAAGGCATTCTTCCTTAGTCCACAGATTATTAACCTAGATTTCAAATCCACGGCCGTCAGCGCTGCAAATCACTACTAAGCCTTCGAATCTTGTTCATTAAATAACTTTCAATAGAAGTGAGGTTAACAATGGCTCATGCTTAGTGGACATCTAGTCACCATTGAAAATCATAATAAAAATGCGTTGTTAATCCTGGGGCTGAGATATAATATGCCTTGACAATAGTAACACAGAATTTTGCTACAATCTACACTGGTATTCTGTGTGAGAGTGGCTTTTCAAAAACATAATTCATATACTTAACTGGATTTATTAATCGTCGTTACCTGCGTTAGTAACGAAGTCTGTTTCCATGCGGCGATTGTGTCTACTGAACATTTTTCTTTTACACATATGGGACTGATGCTTCCGCCTATTCTACTAACTATTTCCTAATTTTGATTATTTTAAGATACCCCAGAAGACGAGGTGGGATGATTTAATTAAATTTATCGTAACAATATTTTCATTTCATTTGTCGAATTGCTTTAAATTTAAAGTAATGTTTAGGAAAATAAAAGTTATTTATTAGCTAAATGTATATGCATCATGTTGACGATTTTTTTTTCGTTTTACTTTCGAACTCTGCTACATGAAGTGATAGATAAAAGACGTTAAACAAAATAGCTTAACAAATTTTATTCTTAGGATATTATTAATAAGATACCATGCATTTTCGGTATTTTCTTGTTGCATGGTATCAGTCGTTGATTTAATATTTCATTAAGTTATCGACATTGATTTATAAGATACTATAGTTAAAAACTCAGATTATCACACGGATCGATTTCGTCGCAATCGGAATTGATTAAATAAAAAGATAAGGGAAATGGATTACTTATTTTCAACTGTTATTAGGTACAGTATACTCGCGTTTTACAATATGGAGAAAAATATGAATGGTTTTCGCATTAGAAATAATAAAGGTATTTACAAATAGTTTTTTTTTAATAACGTAAAACAGGCCAGTTTACTTTTTAAAATTAAAATAAAAACTATACGTTTTGGTGACGTCAAAATGCATCTGCTTTAAGAAGTCCCCTTTAAAGTAATTATTTTAAAATGATCTTTTTTTACAAAACGTATATATTTTTATTTCTACTAAAATTTGTAAACACCAATGCATCAGAGGGATACATAGTTTCATTTTGTTTGTATTATGTCATAGCAGTTTTGCACGAATCTGTAAAGTAATATATCAAATATGTAAAAAAAATCCAATTTCGCGTAATGAAACTGATAGCAGTTCAACCGCTCCTCTAAACCTTGATTACATCCAAAGGTATTAGTTGAAGAGTTATAAATCGAAGATATTTACGAATAGTGCATTACAGCATGCATGTTATGCAACGAAACTTAAACCTGAAAGTTTCGCTTCAGTACCATTGATCTAGTCGAACAGTGGCGTAAACTGATAACTTGGTACAGTGCCAACTGTATCGAAGTTAGGTCGTGTTGTAAAAACTATCAAAGCTAATATGAGTGTGTGGACGAAGTGCATTTGCGATAAAGGCCTGAAATATCGTTATTGCGTTAGTTAATGTTGCTACTAAACTTTGGCTCCGATTTATATAATATAAAGTAGCATATCAGTCACAGTCGTAAAATATTATTTCTAATGTGATGTTAAAGAAATTACAGCATCGAATCTTATGTCGGATATCAGTCAAAGATTTAAAAATAGTCTTTAAAATACGCGTTGTTTATTTTAATAATGTCTGGAGGCACCGTTTCTGATAGCGACATTTCTAGTCAAACATGTGCAGTATAATTTATATTACGCGCTATAAATTTCACTATTCCCATTTTACACAACTTTTTGGTAATAAGTTTATAATAAAATAAGGCTATGGAAGAGTGTGGCCTTCTGGCACAAGTATTTTAAATAATTAAAAGGGGGTCTCAACTCTAACACTGTACCAACTTACAATGTCCTTTTATAATGTCCTTAATTAAAATAAATTAAAATATTTTTTATTGGGTAACACCAAATAAAAATAAATTTAGTTTATTTTAATCCCATTTTATACCTTGTAAATAATTTGAAAAAGTACCTAAAAATCGAACAAGTTTCAACTTTAGGATAACGTTTCAAGTTCTTACTATAATCCCTTTAGTCTGCATTACCACCTCCAATAACAAGAATAGAAGTTAGGTTTCTTAACAAATGATAAATGATAGAACGTAAAATTTATTACATACAACAAAGATCTAAAATATCAATCTATAAAAGAGCCGAAATATTTTGATAACATTTACTATTATTATGTTTATATTTTGTTATTTTAATACAGTTTCAATATATTTTGCGAAATATCAAGAATTCTTCATGATTACTTCAACAACTGTTCAAAATTTAACTTATTTATATTTTTTAATTTCAGGAGCGCATGTATGAGTTGGAAAGACGAGAAGCCGAATTAGCTCTAGAGGAGAAACGTCAACTAGAAGCTAAAAGGACGTTGCTTCAAGAAGCAGCTCGTAAGCAAGACGAACCGGTGGATGATAGCAAGCTAGTGGAAGCCATGTTTGATTTCCTACCCGATTCCAGCAGTGAGGCCCCTGCCCCTAAAGATACGTCCATGTTTAGTGATTTGCCACAGGCGAGAGCCGATCAACAAGAGGTACCTTTTGTTTATAGCATTAAACAAGAATTCCGGTATTATTTGTCATAATTACAATAACGAAGTATTAAGAAGTATAGCTATTTTATAAATCTTTTTAAGTAAGTTTTTTCGTATACGTATATATTTTTTTTTTTTTTTTTATAGGAGAGGGGGCAAACGAGCATGCGGCTCACCTGATGGTAAGTGACTACCGCCGCCCATGAACAACCGCAACACCAGGGGAATTGCAGATGCGTTGCCGGCCTTTTAAAAAGGAGTAGGCATATATCAAATAATAGGTATTTGTTTCAATTAACAGATGGTGACTCCAATGCAAACAACGTCCGAAGACGAAGAGGACCTTTCAGAATTTAAGTTCCAAAAGTTCGCAGCCACATACTTTCAAGGGAACGTTACTCACCAGTATTCGAGAAAACCGCTTAAACATCCATTATTGCCTTTACATACACAAGGCGATCAGTTGGTAAGTGATATTAAAACATCAAATTAAAGTCCAATCAATTTTGAAAGAGGATTAAAATTGCATCTATTACACACTTATCTTACCTAAATACTACAATTATAATAAATCTGTTTATCGTGTTAATTATAAGCGATTCCGTGTCTGATAATATTTTTAACCGGCTTTAAAACCTCAGAACCGAATTTGATGATTCTTTTTTCTTATTTGAAAGCTGGTGCTTCTCATATGTCGTAAATATGCATAAAGTATGGAAGGGACTAGCTCCTACAGGATTCCTAGTTCAGGAGGTAGGGCTCAATTGGAACAAGTGTAACATTAATTTGAGTTCTAATAAAAGAAAAAAAAATTAAAATATAATTTTGATCAGAATCTGACCAGCAGTTTTTGAGTTATCCTTAATAATGCGTATTCAATTGACTCCGCTAAATTGATGATGTTCTCATTTTATTTATATTCAAGTCGGGTGTACATTTTTTTTAATTTTACCGCTTGTATTATTTCAGGCTGCTCAAGCTCTATGGGTGACCATATTACGATTTACAGGAGATCTTCCCGAGCCTCGGTACCACACTATGGACCGAGATAACACATCTGTCATGTCAAAAGTTACAGCTACATTAGGCAGAAATTTCATTCGATCCAAAGAATTTCAAGAAGCTCAAATGATGGGCGTCGATCCCGATGCTTATTTGAACAAGCAAAAGCCGAGGTCGATTAGACACAAGTTAGTCTCATTGACATTAAAGAGGAAGAATAAACTTGGTGAAGACGTGAGAAGAAAACTTCAGGTAAGTACAAACATTTTAACAAATATTTAGTTATTTGTTTTAAAACGCATATTAATATTGTTATTTCAATGTTTTTTCAGGACGAGGAATATACAGCCGACAGCTATCAATCGTGGCTCGAATCGCGACCGACGTCAAACTTAGAAAAGCTTCACTTTATTATTGGACACGGTATACTCCGCGCGGAACTGAGGGACGAAATATATTGTCAGATCTGCAAACAGTTGACCAATAACCCTTCTAAGTCTTCCCATGCCCGTGGATGGATTTTACTGTCATTATGCGTTGGTTGTTTCGCACCCAGCGAAAAATTCGTCAATTACCTAAGAGCCTTCATACGAGAAGGACCTCCTGGTTACGCGCCGTACTGCGAAGACAGACTGAAGCGTACCTTTAATAATGGTACAAGAAATCAACCACCATCGTGGCTAGAGCTTCAGGCCACTAAATCAAAGAAACCTATAATGTTACCAATAACCTTTATGGACGGTAACACTAAAACACTATTAGCAGATTCAGCCACTACTGCCAGAGAGCTTTGCAATCAATTGTCTGATAAAATTGGATTGAGAGACCAATTTGGTTTTTCTCTATACATTGCTTTATTTGATAAAGTCAGCTCACTTGGAAGTGGTGGAGATCACGTAATGGATGCAATATCACAATGCGAACAATATGCCAAAGAACAGGGTGCGCAAGAGAGGAATGCGCCGTGGAGGTTATTCTTTAGGAAAGAGATCTTCGCCCCGTGGCATGATCCAACTGAAGATCAAGTAGCCACGAATCTAATATACCAGCAAGTAGTAAGAGGAGTGAAATTCGGTGAATACAGATGTGACAAAGAGGAAGACCTGGCTATGATCGCAGCACAACAATACTACATCGAATACGGACAGGATATGAACACGGAACGTTTGTACACTTTGCTGCCTAATTATATTCCGGATTACTGTTTGACAGGAGTTGAAAAAGCGGTCGACCGATGGGGTGCGTTGGTAGTGCAAGCTTATAAAAAGAGCTACTACGTAAAAGAGAAAATTCCAGCATACAGAGTAAAAGAGGATGTAGTGAGCTACGCGAAATTTAAGTGGCCTTTACTGTTCTCGAGATTCTACGAAGCGTACAGAAATTCAGGCCCCAATTTACCCAAAAACGACGTTATTATAGCAGTGAATTGGACAGGAGTGTATGTAGTAGATGATCAAGAGCAAGTGTTGTTAGAGCTATCTTTTCCAGAAATCACAAGCGTATCAAGTCAAAAAACCAATAAAGTTTTCACGCAAACCTTTAGCTTATCAACTGTGCGCGGAGAGGAATTCACGTTTCAGAGTCCCAACGCGGAAGATATTCGAGACTTGGTAGTATACTTCCTAGAGGGATTGAAAAAGCGATCAAAATATGTTATAGCTTTACAAGATTATAAAGCGCCCGGGGAAGGTTCAAGCTTCTTAACTTTCCAAAAAGGAGATCTGATAATTTTAGAGGAAGATAGCACCGGTGAGTCAGTACTTAATAACGGCTGGTGTATAGGCCGTTGCGAAAGAACAATGGAGAGAGGCGACTTTCCAGCCGAAACAGTGTACGTGCTACCGGCGCTGACAAAACCACCGCCAGATATTTTGTCCTTGTTTTGTCAAGAAGGGGCACAGCACGGTCGTCGAGTGCCCACCAGTACATTTAATGGGACTGAAACAAGGGATAAGCCTCACACGCTGATAGAATATGCAATAGATCATTTTAGACTGCCACCAAAGCGTACGGTGTCGAAGGCACTCACATTATCAACAGCGAAGAGAGGTGGAGTTGAGGAGCTATGGAGACATTCTCGAGAGCCTATAAAACTGCCTTTATTGAAAAAACTTCAGGCCAAAGAAGAACTAGCAGAGGAAGCCTGCTTCGCGTTTACAGCTATACTGAAATATATGGGCGACTTACCTTCAAAACGACCTCGTATCGGAAACGAGTATACTGATCATATTTTTGACGGCCCTTTAAAACACGAAATATTACGTGATGAAATATACTGCCAAATTATGAAACAACTAACAGACAATAGAAATCGAATGTCTGAAGAAAGAGGATGGGAATTAATGTGGTTAGCGACGGGTTTGTTTGCATGCAGTCAGGGATTGCTGAGGGAACTAACTCTGTTCCTAAGAACTAGGAGATATCCAATATCTCAAGATTCTCTTCAAAGATTGCAAAAGACGTTGAGAAATGGTCAGAGGAAGTATCCTCCGCATCAGGTTGAGGTTGAAGCGATACAGCATAAAACAACACAAATATTCCATAAAGTGTATTTCCCGGACGATACCGACGAAGCGTTCGAAGTAGACTCCTCAACAAGAGCGAAAGACTTTTGTCAGAATATAGCACAGAGACTGAATCTCAGATCTAGTGAAGGCTTTAGTTTGTTTGTTAAGATAGCTGATAAGGTGATATCGGTGCCAGAAGGTGACTTCTTCTTCGACTTCGTACGACACCTTACTGATTGGATCAAGAAGGCGCGACCCACACGTGATGGCATTACACCACAGTTTACATATCAGGTATACTATACACTATTGTTTTATTACTACCCATCTGACCATCTTCATATCTATACATCTGTTTGTCTGTTTGTAATGTCAAAATTACAGCTTTTTACTAAATGCGTATGAAAGTATATACGGTAATAATAACAAAAATACAATTTTTAAAGTTTTGTCTGTCTGTCTGTCCGTCTGTCTGTTTGTTCCGGCTAATCTCCGAAACGGCTGGACCGATTTTGACGGGATTTTCACTGGCAGATAACTGATGTCACAAGAAGTAACTTAGGCTACTTTTATTTTAAAAAAGAAGTAGGGTTCCGCGCAAAAAAATTAATACCCCAAAAATCACGCGGGCGAAGTCGCGGGAAACAGCTAGTTAAAATATAGCTCGTGTTATCCATTAGAATAAATTAGTTAATGATTTGGCGTGTCACGATAGAGAGCAGCAGTAATCGCAGCTTAGCTATGTTACCATTACTACCGTTCAAAGTAATAATAAACACTGTACCTACAATTAAAAATTTAGAAAAGATGAGAATGAATTTGCGCAGCAGAATCTTAACTTAACCGTGGTAGAGCCACGCTGCAGCTATATTGTAGCACGAATGGGTCGGCTCGGTCGGGAAAGAACCACGCTCTCACAGAATACCAGCGTAAAATAGCAGCTGAATGCTGCTGTATTTGGTAGTGGTGAGTTTAGAGAACCGGATTCCATCTCAGTCCTCAGGGGTGACAACGCATTTGCATTTTATTTCTTAATTGGGGATAAACGTCTTTTTTTTGGGCCACAGCATACACTTACCATCAGGGGGACTGTGTGCCGTTTGTCACCCAATGTACACTAGTTTTAGACTTTTCGTTTGCCAATTTAACTAAAAGTTACATCGTAAAAACCCCCTTGTAAGAAAGCCCAGAACTTCAAGGATACATTGATTACCACACAAGTTTCGATACTTTTACTTTTATTTACTTATTATAAGCCAGTGCTTGACCACAATTCCACCTGGTGGTAAATGGTGACGTAGCTTTAGATGGTAAATCGCACTGTCTTATCGTAACAAAAGCCTATTCACTCTTCCCTTGAAGACGCCCAGATTGTATTCGGACGGAAAGATAGACGCCGGTAAATTATTCCACTGCTTTGCTGTACACATTACAAAAGACGAAGCAAACCGTTTGGTTCTAATGCGTGGAATATCGACAACAAAGGGATGAAGACCCGCCGACCGCCGTTGTCCGATGGTGGAAGAATACTTGCTAGTTGTATAGAAGGAAAACATTGATAGATACTTACTTCAAATTTGGCAATTTCGAATGGATATACAGCCATTTATCAGCCGCCAGAGGCTCGTTTTTTAGTAGGGTGCTGAGCGTGCAGTGCCTATGAGGTTGATAAAACTTTATTTAAATGTAATCAGTAATTTAATTTTAAAAGATATATCTAAAAGCCATCGCCCAACCTGGAGATGGATTACACTGTTTCATTTTACCTGGGCTTATTGTTACCCGTGATCTGTGTGGTTAAAATTACAATTGATCATTAATGGATTACAACAAACAAGTAGATTAGCTTTTAACTGGTAAATGTTAATAAATTAAGGATATTTTTTACATTTACCAGTATTTAGATATGAATAATTTTCATCGATACCTACTTATTACTTAGTTTAGAAAAAGTAGAAGTACAATACCAAAAGTACTATTATTTTTTAACAGTGGTAGAGCCAAGCGGTAGCTTTTGCTGTCGCACGGATGGGCCAGCTCGAACCGGGGTGGTACCACGACCTCACAGAATACCAGCGTGAAGTAGAGGTTTACCTCTGCGTTGCGTTTGGTGAGTGCAGGTGGCCGGAGGCCCAATTCCCCCCCCCCCCCCCCCCCATCAACATGGTAGTGGAATTAAATACAAGACTACCCCAGGAGGGTACCAGCAACCCTGGAGAATCCCTCGCTGAGCATCCACGAACAAACTACTTCACTCCTGAGCGTGGGTGCTCAGGCTGCCCCGCGTATTCTGGGGGGGGCAAAATTCCGCTCGTGACTAATGCTGCTCGGGGCAAGCGGAGCAATACAACCAAGGCGACCCCTGTCACGCTATCCGTGAATTTTTGCAACATCAGGGGACTTCATTCCAACCTTAACGCTGTCCATTACCATCTAGAGACGGCGAAGCCGGCCTTGCTCTTTTTAACCGAGACTCAGGTGTCCTCTCCGGCTGATACTTCATATCTCTCCTACCCGGGGTACAAATTGGAACACTCCTTTGTGCCCCGGGCTGGAGTTTGTGTATACGTCAGAGAGGACATCTGTTTTCGACGCCTCGGCAGCCTTGAAGGTACGGACCTGTCCATCCTATGGCTGCGCGTAGACAGCGACGACCATCCCCGCGTCTACGGGTGCCTCTATAGGTCCCATAGCGGTAATGCCGACACAGACCGACTCATCGACCACGTCCAAATGGCTGCAGACTCCGTGCTACAACAGGTCCCATCCGCAGAGATCGTGATACTCGGTGATTTCAACGCCCACCACGCTGAATGGCTTGGTTCTCGTTCAACCGATCATGCGGGTAGATCTGTCTACGACTTTGCTTTGGCATATGGTCTAACACAACTGGTTACTTCGCCTACGCGGATCCCAGATGTGGAAGACCATGTACCTTCCCTGTTGGACCTTCTGCTGACCTCTCATCCGGACGGATATCAGGTCTCCGTCGATGCCCCTCTGGGCTCTTCGGACCATTGTCTGATCCGGAGCACAGTGCCACTCACGCTCCAATCGCAGTTGCGATCTACAGCTTGCCGCCGTGTTTGGCACTATAGGTCAGCTGATTGGGACGGGATGCGGTCTTTTTTTGCATCCTACCCTTGGGGGCGGGTTTGCTTCTCGCCGGAAGATCCCAGCGTTGTTGCCGATTCTGTTGCTGATGTGGTACTTCAGGGTATGGAACTTTTTATTCCATCCTCTGTGGTGCCCATCGGAGGCAGATCCCAGCCATGGTTTGGTCGCTCCTGTAAAATAGCATCACGCTATAAGCAGGAGTGCTACCGGGCCTGGGCTGACGCATCAACGTCTCGGGATTTAAACACCAGCGCACTTAAAAAGAAGTATAATTCCGCCTCCAGGTCCTTCAAAAGCGTCATTGCCAAGGCAAGGTCTGAGCACATCGGCAGAATTGGCGAGAAGCTAGTTCGCCTTCCTTCGGGAACCCGTGCATTCTGGTCTCTCGCCAAGGCTGTCCAAGGGAACTTCTGTCAGCCATCCCTCCCATCTCTGCACAGAGAGGACGACTCACTGGCCCATGCCGCAAAAGAGAAAGCCGATCTGTTGTGCTCTCTTTTTGCGTCCAACTCGACTCTAGATGACGGGGGGAACACACCGCCGACCATCCCGCGATGTGAGTGCTCCATGCCGGATGTGCGATTTACACAGCGCTCGGTTCGCAAAGCACTCTTCTCCCTGGACGTCAGCAAGTCGAGTGGGCCCGATGGAGTCCCTCCCATTGTGCTGAAGACGTGTGCTCCGGAGTTGGCACCGGTTTTAACGCGTCTTTTCCGGTACTCCTACTCCCAAGGCGTAGTCCCGAATTCATGGAAGACAGCTTTGGTCCACCCGATCCCTAAAAAAGGCGACCGCTCAGACCCGTCCAACTACAGGCCTATCGCCATCACCTCCTTGTTCTCCAAAATAATGGAATCCATTATAAACTGCCAGCTCATGAGGTACCTTGAGGATCACCAGCTGATCAGTGACCGTCAGTACGGTTTTCGTCGGGGTCGATCAGCAGGTGATCTTTTAGTTTACTTAACTCATAGATGGGCGGAGGCAGTAGAGTCCAAGGGGGAGGCATTGGCCGTTAGTTTGGACATAGCGAAGGCCTTCGATCGGGTCTGGCACAAGGCGCTTCTTTCGAAGCTTCCTTCCTATGGGCTTCCCGAGAAATTGTGCAAATGGATCACCAGTTTCCTTGCTGATCGGAGCATCAAGGTCGTAGTAGACGGTGCATGCTCTGATTACAAGCCTATCAACGCTGGTGTTCCACAAGGCTGCGTGCTATCACCAACGCTGTTTCTCCTGCATATCAATGATATGTTGCTAACTGGTAGCATTCATTGCTATGCAGACGACAGCACTGGGGATGCCTTATATACCGGCCGTGCCAATATTTCTCGGGAAAACGTCGCCGAGTACCGGGACAAACTTGTGTCTGAAGTCGAGTCTTTGCTTAACAAAGTCTCGGATTGGGGCCGACTAAATCTAGTCCAGTTCAATCCCCAGAAGACACAAGTTTGCGCGTTTACCGCTAAAAAGAACCCCTTTGTCGTATCTCCTCAGTTTCAAGGCACTCCCCTTGCTGCCTCAGCCAGTATCGGAATCCTTGGCGTCGACATATCGAATAGCGTGCAGTTTCGTGGTCACTTGGAAGGGAAGGCCAAATTGGCCTCTAAAAAGCTTGGCGTGCTCAGCAGAGCGAGACAGTATTTCATGCCGGCACATCGCTTGCAACTTTACAAAGCGCAAGTTCGGCCCCACATAAAATACTGTTCTCATCTCTGGGCCGGGGCACCCCAGTGCCAGCTCCTTCCACTTGACCGCATCCAGCGCAGAGCGATTCGAATCGTCGACGACCGAGTTCTTTCCGATCGGCTCGATACACTGGCACTGCGTAGAGATGTTGCATCTCTTTGCGTATTTTATCGCATCTATCACGGGGAGTGCTCTGAGGAATTGTTCGGACTAATTCCAGCCGCTCAATTTCACCATCGCACGTCGCGACAAAACTCGCGTTACCATCCATACCATCTGGATGATTGGCGGTCCACCACTGTGCGATTTAGAAGAAGTTTTCTCCCTCGCACAACTTCTTTGTGGAATCAATTACCACCAGCGAATTTTCCGAACCGATACGACTTAGGAACCTTCAAGAAAAGAGCTTACACCTTTCTAAAAGGCCGGCAACGCATCTGCAATTCCCCTGGTGTTGCGGTTGTTCATGGGCGGCGGTAGTCACTTAACATCAGGTGAGCCGCATGCTCGTTTGCCCCCTATTCTATAAAAAAAAAAAAAAAAAAAATATTACCTACCTAATATTATAACCTCCCGGGACTTCAGCTCTAGTGCACACTTCTTAATGCGGCTCCGCATACTTTTATTTTACACAAATAAACAAATTTTAATTTATTGTTACACAAAATAGTGGCTAATTATACCTAGTCAGGTCATAAGTATTGTCACACAGTAAAAACTTTTCTTTTAGAATGCTGGCCACAAAAAAGTTTATTGAATTCGAATTTCGAATTGTTCATGAAAATAAAACTGTATACTTTTACTCATTTTTAAATATGGAGTGGACGCTTAAAGAAGACCGTGTTGCAGTTATTGCGTTGCATCGTTGCGGTTACGCGCCAATTCAAATTTTTGATATACTGAAAAATTTGAATATAACCAAAAGATTCGTTTATCGTACCATCAAACGATACAACGAAGACTCTAGTGTAGATGACAGGTCAAGAAGTGGTCGCCCTCGGTCAGTTAGGACTCCAGCAGTGATAAAAGCTGTGAAGGCGCGAATTCAAAGAAATCCCAAACGTAAGCAGAAACTGTTGGCCCTTCAGATGGAGTTAAGCAGAACCACGGTGAAAAGGGTGTTAAATGAAGACTTAGGGCTTCGGGCATATCGAAGAAAAACAGGACATCGTTTGAATGCTCGTCTAATGGACCTGAGACTGAAGAGATGCCGCGCTTTGTTGAAGCGGTACGCGGGAAAAAAATATCGGGAAATTCTTTTTTCGGATGAAAAAATTTTTACCGTTGAAGAGAGCTACAACAAACAAAATGATAAGGTGTACGCACACAGTAGTGAAGAAGCGAGCAACCGTATTCCGCGTGTCCAACGAGGTCATTTTCCATCCTCGCTCATAGTATGGTTGGGAGTTTCTTATTGGGGCTTAACAGAGGTACATTTTTGTGAGAAAGGTGTGAAAACGAATGCAGTTGTGTATCAAAATACAGTCCTGACGAACCTTGTGGAACCTGTTTCTCATACCATGTTCAATAACAGGCACTGGGTATTCCAACAAGATTCGGCGCCAGCTCATAGAGCGAAGAGCACACAAGACTGGCTGGCGGTGCGTGAAATCGACTTCATTCGGCACGAAGACTGGCCCTCCTCCAGTCCAGATTTGAATCCGTTAGATTACAAGATATGGCAACACTTGAGGAAAAGGCGTGCTCAAAGCCTCATCCCAATTTGGAGTCACTCAAGACATCCTTGATTAAGGCAGCCGCCGATATTGACATGGACCTCGTTCGTGCTGCGATAGACGACTGGCCGCGCAGATTGAAGGCCTGTATTCAAAATCACGGAGGTCATTTTGAATAAACTTTAGTGTCATAAGAATCTATGTTTTGTTAAGTTCATTTTGGTATATAAATGGTTACATAATGAATAAACTTGTTTCAATTATTTTATATTAAATATGTGACAGAATTTATGACCTGACTAGGTACATATCTAAAAGCTGCATATTAATAATTAGACTTAATTGACTAGTAACTAGGGCAAGGGATTACGATACGATACAGAAATAATTTTAAGAAACTCCCTTCTATAAGAAATAGATATTGTCCTTAGAGAGAGTCATGGCAACTCAAGGGATAATCCCTCACCTTAAATTTTGAAGAACTTGAGCAAACCGAATTTGATCGCCACCCGGCACCAATGAATTTGTAGGAAACATTATAGAAATTAGTAGGTTTGAAGGAAAACATCGAGAAGAATAACAATCATATTTTGAGGACATGCAAATTTCGACAATACGAATAAGTGCAGCACGAAGGGTTATCAGATGGAAAATTGAAAATTTACGACACGTGACAAAACAACTAATTAATTATTGTTTCACCCCTCCCACACAAAAACCTGTATTTTATTAAAAAAATTAAACTGTTGACTTTTGCCTACTCCGAAAACACTCACAGAAAAGAGAGATCTGTGCTCAGCAGTCGGACGTATATAGTCTGTATTTTACTTTAAGTTTACTTGGTCCGTAGGTGTTCTTTATGAAGAAGCTGTGGACGAACACGGTGCCGGGCAAGGACCGCGCGGCGGACGTGATCTTCCACTTCCACCAGGAGCTGCCGAAGCTGCTGCGCGGCTACCACCGCTGCGGCCGCGACGAGGCGGCGCGCCTCGCCGCGCTCGCCTACCGCGCGCGCTTCGCCGACAACAAGCAGGAGCTGCAGGCCATACCGTAAGCGACACCTTCTTTGTCTTACATTTCAGACCTAGCTAAACGAAATCCCGATCTGTTGAGACGGTGCAAGGAGGTCCACTAAACTATATCAACTAGTGAGTATCCTAGGTCGGATGAAAGGATAGATGAAAACTAAAAAAATTTAAATGTACGGTTATATAAAGTTGTCATATAAAGTCCCATAGTTGCCACACTCGGCAACAATCCTCCCAACAAATCAATCTTTGGGCAGGGCTATGTCAGCAGTGGACCTTTATAGGCTGTTATAAATGAATGAATAAATTTCAAAACTAACAAATCGAAACGCCGCCGTGTAGTGACGGTGTATGAGAACGAATCTCGGTGTACGAATCTCATATCAACTTGTAAATGTCGTAAGAAGGAACAGACTCTCAGACACAACGCTGCTGTGTTTCGTATGGTGAGTGTAGAGAACCGGAGACCCTTTTTACTGTAAAAAATACATTCTATCTTAGTCCTTACGGCTGACAACGTATCCGTATTTTGATTAGCAAACGAGGATAGATGTAGATGTATATGGGCTACAGCTACCGCTTATCATCAGGTGAACTTTGTGCTCACTTGTCACCCGTATTCTATAAAAAAAACTGAAACTGAAACAGAAAATGGGTAGAAACACCTTCCAAGTAATGGATGGTGCTGGAGAGCCATTCTAATCTCGCTCAGACTGACGTCCGGGATATCATCGGAATAGTGTCGGATAAGACTTCCTGTTGCATCGTTACTCACACTTGCGTGTAGCTCCAACGATGATGTGTATAGCTGCCCATAAAACCTTTCAATCTCACTCAAAATCTCAGGTTTCCCGGAAACGATGCTTCCACTTTCGGTCTTCAACTTCGACAGTTGGCTCTTTCCGGCAGACAGATCTCTAGCAAAGACCGGAGCCCTGGTTCCGCTCGATCGCATCTTCAATACGAGCAGTATTAAAGTTGCGTAAGTCTCGCCGCATGCATTTGGAGATCTGTCTGTTCAGTTGCCTGTATGCTGTGAAATCTGCTGAAGACTGCAGCTTCGTTTTCCGTCTAACACATCCATGAGATTAAGAGTGTTCTTCTGCAGCGGGTCTTGCAGAAATGAGCTCCGAGCACATGGATGGTTTCCACGAGCTTGTCATTCATATCATCCACTGCATGACAATCTTCTAGGCACTGAAAATGGTTTTGTAACTCGAGCTGAAAAGTTTCGGGACCTTTAATTAGAGCATGAGGGGGACGGAGCGTCGACTTCATTATACGAGAGCTCTCCAACTTAACGTTTAGGTTCAGTGTGCCTCTAACCATTCGGTGATCGCTACCAGTTTTCACCCTCGCGATCACTGAGACATCACTAAACAGTTACAGTCGAGTCGTCATAATCGGCTACTATAACATCGGCTAATATGATATAACGCTTAGGTGGGATTAGGATATTTATTTTATATTTTTAGTCGTTACTCCCGCACTAGGATTTTCTCCTGTATCGTGGAGGCAGTTTACAAACATAAATTGCACAAGGACAAATATCCAGACCCGGGAAAATTATTTGTAGGCCACACAAATTCTTGTTCTGTGCGGGAATCGAACTCGCGACTCCCAGCGCTGCAACTCCTTGCTAGGCCAGACGGCTCCGTAGCGCAGTAAATTAGTAATGAAGTCAATCCCATTTTTTGTAAAACCATCGGGACTCGGCCAAGTCCACTTCCTGTGGGGCCGCTTCTGAAAGAAAGAGTTCATCAGAAAGAGTCCCTGTTTCTCTATGAAGTAGGCCGGCTGCTGGCCCCTTGGGTTCCGTTGCTCTATTCCAAATTTTCCTACCTTCAGCTCACCGTTCCCTGTTGTGCCTAGTTTTGCGTTGGAGTCTCCCATTAACACCCTATAGTGGGTTTTGGAGGAATGCTTGGCTTTAGAGATATCCTCATACATTTCCTCCACCTCCTCATCGGGATGTGGCCGAGTTTGGTGCGTAAACCTGTATGACCTTCAAGGAATACCGTTTGGTGATTACAAGGTTGAAGTATAAGGTACGCAACTCTCGTCGATACACTCCGGGGACCGGGGACTGAGGGCCATCTTTTTGTATCTCTCGTAATGGGTATATTGCCATAGTTGCCACGCTTGGTGAGCGGGTCGGCAACCGCAGGTTTTTTTATTGTAATATGCTGTTATCAATAAGATGTTGCTGCCCATCTTCTGTCTCAGTTTCCCTCTGTCGCCTCTTACGAAAGCCACGGGAAGATATGGGGTAGTGGGTATTCTTACCCGCCACTACACGGAGTATCGTCATTATCGCTACCTATTATATATTTGGTTGTCAATGATTAAATCTATCCTAATACACGTTTGGGGTCATCTAAAATTGTCTTTTTAATTACTTTCATAAAACCAAATAATAAAACGTTTCTCATCATTAATGAAAATTTATACTATATATTCCATATTATATGACGGATCATAGCTTCATAGCATATCGTAACAAGGCTTATTTCTCCTACGGTGTATTTTCAACGTTTGCATTTTAATTTAAATAAAAAATAATCAAAATTTTCAGGCAAATGCTTCGCGAACTGGTCCCAGCGGATTTGATAAAACTCCAAAGTTCAGCCGACTGGAAGCGCGCTATCGTGGCATCATACAACCAGGATTCGGGAATGACACCCGAGGACGCTAAGATCACCTTCCTCAAGGTTATTTACCGGTGGCCAACGTTTGGTTCTGCCTTCTTCGAAGTGAAGCAAACCACTGAACCCAACTATCCTGAACTTTTGCTCATCGCAATCAATAAGCATGGTGTCAGTCTAATTCATCCACAATCGAAGGTGAGTTGGTTTTATTTTTATTCCATGTAGATTTAAGCGATTGCCAGTAGCTTAAAAGCAAATATCACTCGATCTCCTTCTGAGGATATCCTCATATTATATAATAAACAAGCGATTCGCCCCGGCTTCGCACAGTTGATTTGATTTGATCTAGACAACAACGTCACCTACCGGGTATCGATTGTGAATCTAAACCATTCTCTAAGCAACTTTGGGTGTCGTAAGAGGCGACAGAGAAAAACAAATCGGGAGATGGGCAACAGCGTCTTCCTTATAACGATTAAATATAAAAAACTGCGGTTGCCAACCCGCTTGCCAAGCGTGGCAACTATGGCAAATATCCCCCCCTATGAGGCAATCTATTTGAGAGGCCTATGTTAAGCAGTGGACTATAATAGGCTTTAATTGTTAATATACTAAGCGCGGTTGTAAATTCTTATTAAAATATTTTTTTTTATTTCTAGGACATATTAGTCACGCACCCCTTCACCAGAATCTCCAACTGGTCCTCCGGCAATACGTACTTCCACATGACCATTGGGAACCTCGTCCGGGGCTCCAAACTGCTTTGTGAAACCTCATTGGGCTACAAGATGGACGACTTGCTCACCTCTTACATATCCCTCATGCTTACCAATATGAATAAGCAGCGTTCTATTCGAGTAAAATAAGTGCTTATAACACTGCTTAGATTATCTGTGGAATAATTGTTTTGTATATTAATATATCGAATACAGTCGCTTAGCATTAACTTGTTTTTAGCGTGTACTTTAATTGCTTTTAGATTTCGCCTTATACAATATCAATTAGTAATTTAAATTTCATTCCGCCACGTACAATATTACGAACGGAATAAACTCAATTTTTCTTAGCTCCTCCCAAAGTAATTTTAATAAACTGTAAGTGTATTTCAAAAAGGTCAATCAAATTAGCAATAACATTTATTTTGCTATATAATAAAGTTATTTCGTTTGCGAATAATCTGTGTATTTGGCATTATGATTGTACTAAAATATAGTCTTAAAACTATTATTATGAATCGAAAAATAAAGACTAAAATGTACCGTTAAAATATTTACAATGAACTAAATATTAGAGACGTGGTAGCTCAGAGAATAATATTAGAGTAAGCAAGTTCGCTAGCAGCAATGAAATTGTTACTTGCAATGTTAATTGCTGATTTATTACGTGCTCGGTGATGAAGAAAAACATCGTGTGAAAACCTACATTCGCCAACGCACTGGGGCAGGGTGTCGGACATTTGCTGCATCAAAACACTCTTACAAATTGGAGGCTTTGTCTTTTTAAAATATGAACGCTTTAAGTGCTTAAAGGTATTCATCACTACCATCATATTTGGATTATCATTGTAACGATAGAATCAAGTGCACAACGCAGACGTAAGAGTTAGAATGAAAATCTTTATCTATGTTATTTAATACTGTATTTAATTTATATATGTACCAGTAATATTTAAAAGGCTCCGTCCAAATGTTTATGAAATTGTGTATTTTATTAAAATTTTTCGATTTAACATAGAGTATGTTTGCTTGAATTGCATGAAATTAAAATATTTTGTAACAATTTTATAAATGTAAGTACAATTTATTTATCGCTTTCTACTTGTTAAATTTATATCGAAAATAGTCAATATTTATAACAAATAGATATTATCGAAATATATCTGATTTTAGGGGTATCTAATTATATAACAAAAATGCATATTAGTTAAACTGCATTTAAATAGTCCAGTGCTATTATATTGCAGGGAATATTTCATACCACATTCCATGTTAAGACGATAAAAGATCTGCTATTTTACAATTATTTATACATTATAAGGTTTTCGGTACAGACGCTTTGCGATCAAGAATCGTTAATAAAATATTTCCTATATTATAAGTGCCTAATCAATTACTATAACTAATATAGTCTATATTTACCAAGGGACCAAGAACATAAGTTATTATACAAAGGTGTCAGTGATGATGTCAATTTGCTAATCAATTGTACACACAGTTACTAGTATAATACGGCCCTTAACAATGTGAGTATAAGGATAAAAAGGGTATCAGAGAAGGTGGTTTTGGTGTTCGATAAAAATATTTTAAATGTTGAGTTTGTAACACTCATACTGTGCATGATAAAATACAATGTATTTATTTGAACAAGCTAAGTTACGTGTAATTTAGTTATCGATGTTATGCCATGAGTCCGAAGACATTATAATTTTGTTTGTTTTATTATTGCTTTAAATTCTTTAAAGTTGCATTTGTGAGTGGTTGTAAACATGAGTCACAATGAATCGAGTTGTTTTATTTCACATCTACATGGTAAACGAACGATCGTCTTTGAGTTTTCTACCTAAAAAAAAAATCTCTTAACATAACATCACATCACATCTTAAAAGTTACTCGTAATAGTGAAAGACATTACTTCTTTAAAAAAATAAAATCAGCATGGCCGCCAAAAAAGATATGCGTAATTCATGCTACGATTATAGTATTATATGAAGTTTGGCAAAGTGTTATGTTATTTGATCTATTATTGACTGAAAAAGCACTGCTTTAAAAGGACTAGAGAGTTGTTTAAACAGTAGTCCACAGTGCGTAAAAATAACTCAAATAAATTAGAAGAGACTGCTGAGGAATATATATTATTTGAATTCAAAAACAAAAAAAATCTGTATTTCTCAAGGTAGCATACTTGGTCCTTTGCTATTTATACCATACATGATTGACTTACCTTACTATAACACAATGAACTTCTTTGCAGATGATATTTCAGTAACGGTTACCGACTAGTAAAGTATAAATAATATTACATTAACCGCCTGATACTTCGATCGTCAATCCACGTTCCAAGCGTGTCGATTATGACTAACCATGTGCGTGAATTACACGCAGAAGCACGATTGTATTTTAATGAATAAGTACATACTGGAAAACCGATTTTACGGCGATAGACAACATGATGAGGTAACAACGCGTAAAGCCTTTATAGGTATAAATTAAAATGGTGCTAAAATAGTCAATCGTTAATAAAAATGAACATCCTTGGGCAAATAAATAAATAAATATTAAGGACATAGCTAACATGTTTGCTAATCATTTCTCAATTAAGCCAATGCACGTGAAGAGTATATCCTTAGTCTACAAGTTCTAACGCTAAAAGTTTCAATTTCTACTCTAGTGATATCGCAAAAGTGGTTTATAATATGAACATGGCATTCACCAAGGCACGATGGCTTGAGTGTGGAGCACATTCTTTACGCCGATGAAAAAGTTTGATGCATTACTATTTAACCTATTTATTATACAAACATATATTCCTGATAAAATGTTACAGATGATTATGGTAGGTACCTGTTATTAAAAAAAAATCGGTGACGTCTCTAATATCTCCAATTACCGATCTATCTCCGTGGGCACGAACTATCGTGGTAGGGTAAAAGTATTTGAAAAACTTCTACAGCCCGAACTTGTGAAAAATATTAAGGTAAGCGATGCTCGGTTTGGTTTTCGTGCCGGAGTTTATGCTGATTGTGATACTGTCAGTAAAACACGTTGAAAACTATCTGTTTTCGCCTGTTTTCTGGACTTTAGTCGTGCATTTGACCTTGTTAATTATAATTTATTATGGAGGAAAATGCAATACAATGTCCCTGGCCGGGTTCTGGGTTTGCTGAGATACTGATACGAGTACGTGAACCAAACAAATAAAGCTAGGTGGCGCGACACAACCTCCAGTGGCTATAAACGGGGGTACATCACGGAGGGCCGACTTCCTTTCCAATTTTTATGTTACGTATGTGGTGTGTATTTAGCCGTGGAAGGAAAAGGGGAGATCTCCCGCCGAGAAAGGTGTTCAGCCCGGGGAGCGGCGAGCAGACAACGCTCCGTGTGTTATTTCGGAGCTATTCCTATGTATAGCGCGTTAACTTCAGAACTCTGATAGCGCGATTTAGGCTTCGGTGCGTTTCGCATATCTACGGCGCGATGACAAATCTGTGACCGAAGCGAACGAGCTGTTGTTGTATTATGGTTGTAACATGAATAGGTCGGCTCGACCAGGGAAGGACTACGCTCTCACAGAATACCAGCGTAAAAAAATAGCTTAATACAACTGTGTTTCGTATGGTGAGTGTAAAGAGCCCGAACCCTTGTTACTGGAAATGAGACATTCCACCTCAATACTCAAGAGTGACAATGCATCTGCATTTCGATTCTTAATTGAAGTTAGATCTAGACGTCTACAGCATCCACTTACCATCAGGTGAACTGTGTGCTGGCTTGTCACCCATATTCTATAAAAAAAATGTTAACGGCTAGATTGAGTAGCTTAAAAGTATCAAAATTGGATGCTTTCCGTATTTTTTGAAACATGCACGTTACTTCAACGCGTCCGCAATGCTTGCAGAGGCTGTTGTCCCAGACATTTACGCAGTGTTACGTTATAGAACGGCCAGTAACTGTAACGCAACTCAACAAATTAATTATTTCAGGTCGTTGCTCAGCTGTCTAATTTCGTCCTCCATGGTGACATTACTCCGGAGGCAAGGAGCAGAAGTGCGGTGGTCTTGTTCTTTAACAGAGGCGACAACGCTCTCTTGAAGAACTACAGATCGATTTCCCTTCTGAGCCGTGTCAACTGCTGTTTTCGAGAGTCATTGCGAATCATCTCACACGCAAACTCGACAACTTCCAACCTCCCGAATAAGTTTTTATATTATACTAAATTTGGTGAAATATGTGATACTTCATTATTTTATAAGGATATCTTTGTACCATATTTCTTATGAATAAATTTATTATTATTATTATAAGTCGGGTTCCGAAAAGGTTTTAGCACCTCAGACCACATACCTTTTTTTTGATTGCATACATATGTGGACTATGAGAAAGCCTTAGATTCCGTCGACATTTGGTCTGTGCTACAGTCCTTTTAGCGGTACCAAGTTGACTGTTAGTATATCGAAGTGCTGAAGTGTTTGTACAGAAGGGCTACGATGGATATCAGAGTATCCGAGTACAGAACCTGAGTACGAAACCCAACCAGTTGCAGAGAGGTGTAAGACAAGATGACGTTATATCCCCGAAACTCTTCATCGCTGCATTCGAATTGGAAGACGTTTTCAAGTTACTGGACTGGAAAGGATACGGTATTAACATCAATGACGAGTACAGCACTCACCTTCGATTTGCCGACGATATAGTTCTTATGGCAGAATCGCTGGAGGACCTAAGCACTATGCTCAATGACCTCAATAGTGCCTCCTAACGGATAGGTTTTAAGATTAGCATATTCGATAAGCAGCGTTCGGGAAATTACGACACATCTTCTCGTCAGGTATACCTCAAAACTTGAAAACGAGACTGTACAACCAGGGCGTGTTGCCAGTGATGAATTATGGATTTGAGACGTGGTCCTTCACTACTAGCCATATGAGAACGCTCAAGGTCGCTCAGCGAACTATAGAGAGCTATGTTCGGAGTTACTCTGCGTGAAAAACTTACTAATGAGGATATCCGCAGTAGAACCAGAGTGACCGACATAGCCCAAAGGATTAGTAAGCTGAAGTGGCAATGGGTCGGTCCAACCACCGATTAGGAAAAAAGGTTCACGACTGGCAGCCTCGTACCGGCGGGCGAAGTGTAGGGCGTCCCCCCACTAGATGGAGTGACGACCTGGTAAGACATGCAGGAAGTCGATGGATGCAGGTGGCTCAGGAGACTCAGGACCGTGCTTTGTGGCATTCCTTGTGGGAGGCCTATGTTCAGCAGTGGACTTGTGAAGGGCTGTAATGATGAATGATGACACGTAGTGATCATCATCATCAGTCATCCTTATATGAATAGTAGAGAACTCGATTATGCTGTAAGTTATATAAACATCACTAGAAACGATCGGCGTTCACTAACTAATATCAAGTATAAAAAATACTTGAAATAACTTGAAGTATTTATTTATGGTCACTAATGGCCAAATACTCAAACGCTACGTTAACGCAGTTTTAAGATGTCGTCAAGTCTCGTGGTGTCACACTCACTTTGACTTAAAGGGATAGAGACAGCACGAGACTTAGGTAACGGTGTCTGAAAATTAGGTAGCGTTTGAATATTTGAGCATGGGTGCAAAAATTAATAATTAAAAAAAATCAAAATCCCGACTATAAAAAAGATTTTTGTTTAAAATGGTTTTTTTTTTAATTATTTATTTTATTTTAGACTTTTTAGTGTCCCGGAACACGCTCTTCTGAACTAAATTTCATACGATAACACTAGGTCCGACACAAACATGGCCCATTTTACGTTTTTACCATATTTACAAAAAAATTTTAAACCAATTGTATTAACCTCATTAAATTTAAACATATAACTTATACATATTTTTGCAATCCTTTTTAATTTCCTTTATTTCGGTACCCTACTCGATAGATCTGGCAATTTTTTTTAAATTAAGTTATTACTATTTTGCGCCAAAAATCCGCCATTTTATTTATTTTTTCAAACAGATATCTAAGAACACTTGGGTTTCTAAGATAAATAAAACGATACCTTAATTGTCAAAATCCACCCAGCCGTTTGGAAGATACGAAGTAATAACGAAATTTACATATATACAAGATACGCGCGAAAAACATAACCCTTCCTTGGCAGTCGGGTAATAAAATAGGGTATCAACATTACAGTTGTACTTTTATTGACAATGTAGTTACCCTTTACAGACATAGCAATTAAACATTTTAGAGTCATCAACATCATTACAGTCTTTCACAAGTCCACTGCTGAACTTAGGCCTCGAACAAGTAATACCACAAAGCACGGTCAGATGTAATAATTAAAGCAACGGTTAGAAATCAAAAATATTATACAATTTTTGTTAGTTAATTTAATAAACAAAAATTGTGTTATTAATAAAATAAAATAATTTAACGCGTTTAATTTTTATGTGACGGTGGAGGAATACATTGTAAAGAAATTGTCTGAATATTTCTACGATATGTGAAATACGCTCTTACGCATTTGGGTAGCGCGGCAGACAATTCCTTGCACTTAAAACCCTCTCTTAAATGAGGAAGGCCTGTGAAAAAGGAAGTGCCAAGCCGTGAGACGTAATTTTTTTTATAGGATCGGGTGACAAACGATCACACAGTTCACCTGATGGTAAGTGGTTGCTGTGGTCCGTAGACATCTACATCTATCCTCGTTTGCGAATCAAAATGCAGATGCGTTGTCACCCGTGAGGACTAGGATGGAATGCCTCTTTTAAAAAGGGTCTCCGGTTCTCTACACTCAACATA